CAGGGTGGGGGTGCAGGAAAGGGGCACATCTAGCCCTGGGCAGTACCCGGCAGGGTGTAAGGGGCACAGGAGCAGGGAGTGATGCCAGACATGGGGCCGGGCAGGCAGAGCCAGGGGGGCTGAGCCATGGAAGCCTGGGGCGTCCACAGAGGCTGGGGCAGCTCAGCCTGGAGTGACAGGGAAGCAGAGCAGGCGCCAGCTGGGGGCAAAGCTGCCCTGGCCCCTTATCTGGGGTGGTTTTCCCAGGGCTCTGTGCTGGGGGCGAGAGGACTGTGGGGATACACTGGCCTGGCACTAACCTGCCTGTGGGCAATGCAGGAAGCAGGCCTCACTGGCCCCCACGGTCAGGAGTGGGAACCTGGGACTGGCCTAGGAGGCCCATTTCCATCTTTGGAGCTATTACAGGTACTGCTCCCTGCCCAGGGCTTTCCCCATGTCCAAGTCCAGGCTCCTGCCCACCCCTTCCCTTCGTTGTAGCTGTATCCTTTGTTTCCTGTCTTTTAACCAGTTCTTAGTCCAGGAAAGGGTTAGTAAGACACGTTTCCCTTTACAGAAACCATGATGACTTTTGCCCAGCAATTTATGTTCTTCTATGTGTCTGACAATTTTATTATTTACTATTGTTTCAACTAATTTGCCCGGTACTGATGTTAGAATTGCCGGGATCGCCTCTAGAGCCCATTTTAAATATTGGTGTTACATTAGCTATCTTCCAGACAGTCATTGGGCACAGACGCTGATTTAAAGGATAGGTTACAAACCATCGTTAATAGTGCCGCAATTTCACATTTGAGTTCGTTTAGAAGTCAAATGTTAATGCTATCCGGTCCCGGTGACATGTTACTGTTATTAATTAATTCCAAAACCTCCTCTAATGACACTTCAATCTGTGACAAGTCCTCAGATTTGTCACCTACAAAGGACGGGTCAGGTTTGGGAATCTCCCTAACATCCTCAGCTATGAAGACTGAAGCAAAGAATTCATTTCGTTGCTCTGCAATGACTTTATCGTCTTTAAGTGCTCCTTTTGTATCTCGATTGTCCAGGGGCCCCAGTGGTTGTTTAGCAGGCTTCCTGCTTCTGATGTACTTAAAAAAACATTTTATTACCTTTGGAGCTTTTGGCTGGCTGTTCTTCAAACTCCTTTTTGGCTTTTCTTATTACATTTTTACACTTAATTTGGCAGTGTTTATGCGCCTTTCTATTTACCTAACTAGGATTTGACTCCACTTTTTAAAAGATGTCTTTTTATCTCTGACTACTTCTTTTACATGGTTGCTAAACCTTGGTGGCTCTTTTTTAGTTCTTCTACTATGTTTTTCAATTTGGCTCCTGAGGGGCATCAGAGCTGCTCTACATTTTGGTCAGTCTTCCTAACAGGCCTGTGGCAATATGGTACAAAGTAAATGGGAAGGCAAAAGGATGCTCCAGTCTTTTTCAGTCCCTGCCTCACTCAAGTGTCTGCCTTTCTCTCTAGTAGTAGAGAGTTCAGGTTTGGCAACAGCATTTGCAGCAGTGCTTCTCACCCCATTCCTCCCCCCAAGGTGCCCCAGTTCTGCCACTGGCAGGAGACGTGGGGGCGAGTGGATGCTGGGTGAGTTTGACACATGGCAGTAGTTGCAGGACATGTGATGCTCAGGGCAGGTTCTTTGTTGACGCCAGTGTTAGAGGTTTACTGCACACAGAGCTACTGGCATCAGGAAACTTAACCGAGGCCACTGAAAACCAGGCCCACCTCTAAACATGTATTTAGTGAGACAAAACCATTTTGATAAATGATCCCAGATTGCCTGCAACAGCCCATCTTATGGCCACAGAGGCCCCCATGGTAGAGTCAGTAGAGTCCCAATAACAGCCTGGTAGGGCGGGGCGCTGGGCTGCCGGGGCGGGGGGGGAAGCGGGAGGGTTCTTTTCCAAGCCCAGGAAGCTTTGCAGTGCTGGGCATGCCAGAGAGACAGCTCCCCCTGGGAACTAGGGCCAGCGTCGGGCCAAACACTTAGGGCTCCGTCCTGGTACTACTAAATCAGGGAGTTTTGCCACGGACTGGAGCAGTAGTAGGATCTGGCCTTAGTCTTAACAGATCTGTCAGGTGGTGCAGCTGGCAAGATGCATCTCCCGGGCAGCCCATGGACCAGGGGCAGACGCTGCAGGAAAGAAGCAGTTTATCAGCATTCAGGGGTACAGAGAGTCCAGTAATGGTCTGTTAATCTGCAGAATTCTTTGCCACAGTAACACAGGCATTGAGGTCAAGTACAATATCCAACCCTTCTTGAATCTTAGATAGCTATCAAATGTTTGAATGACAAACATTTTGGAAGGGATATTAAACTTCAGGCTTACGGGACTAGGAGACCCAAAATGTGGGCCGATTATTCCACATATGCCCACTGAAGGGTTCTTACGGCATCTTCTGTGGCATTTGGTTCTGGATGCTGTCTGAGAAAGGAGGCTGGACCACTGATATGATGCAGTCTGGCATTTCCAGTGTTCCCAGCCTGGGCTGTGGGCCAGCAAACTGTGTTCTTGCCACCCCAGAAAGCATGAAGGAGGGCAAAGAAAGTTCAGAACACTTGAGAAGTCAGAGACAGACTCAGGATTGTGAAATGGAGGCCTGGACTTTATCCCTCAGCTGAATGAATCTCTCTGGAAAGCAGCAAAACATGCCTGGCTAAACCTTAAAGGGTCTTAATTAGGGAGAGATGGGACGAGAGTTACCCACCTCCGGAGAGGTGTGTCCACGTTCCAAACAGGAGAGTCATGTGACTCGCTCACAGCCACACAGAGCAGTGGGGTCACAGGCAGAATTAGAACCCAAGAGTTCCTCCTGCCAGCTTCAGTCAGGGCACGCTTCTGGGAATGACACTGAGCGAACGTCATGCTGCTGCCTTCCCCCCATCAGCCTTGATCATTCGAACCAGGAACAAATGAAGATCTTGGGAAAGGCCGATGAGACTAATCGGGGGCGGGGGGTCCTTGCAAAGTGATTTTTGATGCTGCTCTTCCTAACCAGGCCAGCAATGTCAAGTGCAAACCTCAATGTGGACTAAGAGAAAAACAAACAAGCTTTCCTCGCCCCAAAGCCAGACTCCCTTTCCTTTGCAGGCACTGGCAAGTCCTACAGCAGAAACTCTGCAAGCAAGGGGCTGAGCCCCTCCCTTGGAGGCTGTGCAAAACCCTTTCTGTGGGCAGGCCTCCTCCTGGCAGGCTTGTCCAAAGGTCAAGATGTAAAGGCAAAGAGGACACAAGGTCCAATGTATGTAATGCCTGGGTGACCACACCAGTCTAGCCAAAGGCTCCAATGACAGCACCCCAGGCTACCAGCACCTGCAGCTAACCCAGGAAGCAGGAAGAAGGCTGCAGGTTGATTTAGTGACCCAGGATCAGAGATCATCCGGGCACTACGCCATGGTTACAGTGAAAGGAGGAACCTCCTAGTATTCCCCAAAACATCTCCGTATCAAACCGCCAGGGAATAGGACGAACCAAGACCAAGCACCTTTTGATCTGCTGCTCACCACGGAAAACCAACATCTTCCCACCCGAAAGGCCGTGCGTCTCTCCGGCCTCCATGGAAGCCAGACTAGACACTGGAGGGGCCAGTGTCTCTGGTTCTGATGTCCTCAGCCTGTCATGCGGCGGCAGACTGGCAGAGTTCTGTTCTTGGTAGAGCCCTGCAGGGGCAGAGGTTTCATTGTTTCAGCTGGATCCCAGCACAGCTCAGACATTGGGACAGGATAAAAGACAGGCCAGGGAAGATCCTGAACCATTCTGCTCCCCAGGGGAGCCAAATTAAAAACGCTTCCTTCCCACCGTGGGCGCTCTGCTCTGCCCTGGCATCTCAGCAACCCGGGGACAGCTTCTACAAGCCCCATCCATAACAATCCATTCTAGGGTTCCAGGCACTGCATTCCACTCTGCATTTTCTAGGTACAAATCCATTAACTAGGAAAGCTTGCATCAAACCAGACAGGCCAGAGAAGGGAGCCAGTGCACAACCTTAGAGACATTATATGAAGAGCAGGAAGAGCAGAGAGCAAAGCACAGAAGTGCTTCCTTGGACCATTTCAGATAGCAGCTGATGAGGTCTCACTCTCTTTCCACGGGAATGC